GGCCCATTTGTCACAGTTAATGAAGGAGTACTGATGCATTATTATTAACTGAAGCCCATATTTTATTCAGATTTCCCTTATCTGTTGCAGGATCCTAGCCAGGACACCTCAGTAGATTCAGCCATCATGTCTCCTTAGGACTCCTCTTGGCTCTGACAGTTACTCAGGCTTTCCTTACTTTTGGTGTCTTGATATTTTCAAGGAGTAATTGAATGAGTGTTTAGAGCACTCCTCTACTAGAAATTGTCCCATGTTTTTCTTGTGATTAGACCGGGTGACTATTAGCTACTTTCGCCACTATAACCAAATACCTGACAGAAACAAATTAAAGGTTAGGTCCCCAGCTTGTGGTGCTATTTGGAAGGCTATGTAGCCTTTAGGAGATGGGGGCCTGGCCGGTGAAAGAAAAGTCACTCAGAGTAAGCCTTTAAAAGTGATAGTGCACACCTGGTTCAGATCTGTGGGTGCTGGGTTTGGCTCATGGTTTCTGAGAGATTTCAGTCCATCATGGCAGGGAAAGCATAGCACAAGAGTACCTCCATCAGAGGCAACTGACCAGGAAGCAGGGAAGCAGTGCCTTCAAAACATGAGCCTGTGGGGGACATTTCAGATTCAAATCATAACACTAGAGTTGAGGGCTTTGTGGAGGAAGACCACATAGATGGAATGCCGTTTTAGTCACATTCTGTCAAGGGTACTTACTATCAACGTGGTTTATCACTGCTGAGATTGACCCTGATCATTTGTCAGGTATCACGCTGTAAATCAACTCCCCTCTCTCTTCCCCTCTTTTCCACATGGCTTGTGGTAAGGAATTGAGAACTGAGGGTGTAGCTCAGTATCTAAGCACTTGCCTAGCATGAATGAGGCTTGCTCCTCAGTGCCACAAATTCAGCAGCAGCAGCAACAACAACAGCAATAGCAAGTGGGATTTACAATGTCTGGGAGGACAGCATGATCTTGGCCTCTACAAGACTCCCAGATAGTGCCATAACTGTTCTGGCAGGAGGAAAGATATTCTAAAGAGACACTTGGGCCCCTCCCTTTGGCTATCAGACTATTGAAAATGTAGTCCCCAACAAACGGGAACTCACTTCACCAGTAATCTCATGCTGAGAAAAGGAAAGGCCAAGGCCCTGGTGCCAGGCAGAGGGGGAGCTTGTCTTTCAGAAAGCGATTTCACACAGCTCTGATTCTGATGAGTTGTCAGAACACCTTTCAGGGCAGGCTGGAGCCCAGACAAATGATGATGGAAGGGACCACACCTTAACCTGGACTGCTTAGCTATGCATACCTCTTGCCCTCTATTTAAGCCTAAACCTCATGTCAGGACCCCGAAGATGGACTGGGGGTGGGGCATTGAACTTCATTTGTTCTTCTCACAAATCTTTTTCTGCTTTTGAAAAAACATTATTTATTTATGTACCGTATGTGTGTGAATGCACAATGTGCCATGGCCATGGTGTACGTGTGGAGATCAGAGGACAGCTTTCAGGAATCAGTTCCCTCCTTCCCCCATATGGATTCCTGGGATTGAACATAGGTTGCCAGACCTGGTGGCAAAGCCTTCTTGCCGGCCCTTTTAATGCTTTTCACTTTGTGTGTGTGTGTGTGTGTGTGTGTGTGTGTGTGTTTTGAGACAGATTCTCCCTGTATCCCCAGCTGGTCTGGAATTCACTGTGTAAACCAGGCTGACTTCGAACTCAGAGATTTGCCTGCCTCTGCCTCCTGAGTGCTGGGATTAAAGGTTTGCGCCACCATGACCAGCTGCTTTTCACTCTTTCTATGTCTCCTTAATTGGCTTATCGAGGTCAGGTGGCCGAGCTTGGCTTGATAGAGCTGCCAGGACCCAGGTTTTCATCTTAACAACTTCAGTAGCCATCTCCCCAAGCTCACTAGAGGATCACTCAGAACTCGTGTGTGTTGGTGTGTGTGTGTGAGGGGGTGTGGTGTGGTGTGTTCTCAGTTGGAGGTTGGGGCAAAAGCTCTCAGAGATGTCAGAACCTCAGGATCCTGACATGGGTGCTGGGATCAGTACTCCAGTCATCTGCAAGAGCAGGAAGTGCTCTTAACCACTGAACTATCTCTCCACCCCAGCCCCACAGTTTTGAAAGTCATCTTTGTTTCTTATCTCTCCTCAGGGCAGTGGCTGGCTGGAGTGTGGGCTCTGGCCTTGGCTGAAGAGTACCTTGATGGGGTGGAAGGCTTCTTGTAAGCTACTACTTTGGTCATTACTGCAAATATTCTGCCACACACATATCTACCTCTAAATGCTTTCATGGAAAAGTTAACCACACATCACCAGCTGTTTACTGAGCACTAAAGATTGAATCTGAGGGCTCTGTTCATAAAACAGAACTGCTGATGAGTCACAATGTGCCTTTGAGGACATGTGCCCTTCCCAGGTTTCAATGTTTCCATCCATGCAACAAAGACAAGATTTCCTATATATAGTGTTTCCCTTGTTGCATTCCAAGCCTCCTTGGGACCTCAGCTGAAAGGGGGCCTTAAATGTGAAGGAAAAGTTACAAGCCCTCAAAAGGATGTTAGTTCTCAAGACACGGCGAATGAAGAGTGAAGTTTACTTATGGGAGGGTATTATTTTAGATTCTAGTCTGCTTACAGCATTTTTTGCTGTTTCTCAAATTAAAAGCAATCAGAGTGTCCTATAGCCTCAGCTGGCCTGGAACTCAGTATGTAGAGCAGGCTGGCCTTGAACTCACCATCCGCCAGCCTCTGCCTCCTAAGTGCTAGGATTAAAGGCATTCGCCTTTAAGAACAGAAAAATTGTTTCTTTAGCGTGCTTGAAACTGCAGGAGCTCTGCTCCACTTTGCCTAACTATACAAGGTTCATTTAGATACACTCTTACAGGGCATCTGGCTCAAATCCATTCTCTGATATGTAGCAAGATGAACAAAGAGTAGAAGTTTCGTTGGTGTACACAGAAGTGACTTTACCATGATGAATTTTTAAAGTTTTATTTATTTTGTGGGGGGTGCGTGTTCATGTGGCAGTCAGAGGACAACTTGTGGGTTCTTGTCTTCCATCTTGTCTGAAGCAGGGTCTCTCTTATTGTTTCTGCTGCTGGGCTGTGTACTCCAGGCTAGCTGGCCCTGGAGCTTCCAGGAGCGGCTCCTGTCTCTGCCTCCCATCTCGATATAGAAGTCCGGGGACTGCAGATGCACACCACCACATCTGGCTTTTTACATAGGTCCCAGGAATCAAACTTGGGTTGTCAGGCCTGCAGGACTTTTTACCCATTGAGCCATCTCCGTGGTCCTTGAAAAATTTTAAATGACAAAAATGTTCATGGTATAGTTTATGTTTTAGAAGTTGCTGCTTTAGACATCCTAATATAATAATAACTTTATAGTCCTAAGGGAAAAGCATCTCTTCCTTGCTTTCAAATTTCTTTAAAGTCATTGTACAAATTCTCTGTTGGACAAAAATGCCAATTTGAGGAGGAAATCCAGACTCTGTTCTCTAACTCTCAGGTGGCTTTGGTAAATACAGCAGGTTCCAGAAAGTACATATTGCGTATATGGGAAGAAGAAAACGGAGGCTGGAAACTGAGGAACCTGTGAGCCATTTTTCCTCTAACAAGTCTGTCTTATATTTGTGCACTGAATAATGCTCAACCACCTTCAGTGGCTCCTCATTTTTTAACTAAATGAAATATAGTTCTTTTGTGTACAAGTCAAGGTCTTAAAGAAGGTGCTGGAGAGGTGGCTCAGCAGTTAAGAGCGCTGGTTGCTCTTGCAGAGGACCCAGGTTCGTTTCCCAGCACCCACATGACAGCAGCTGTTCTTAACTCCAGTTCCACAGATCTGATGTCCTCTTCTGATATCTGTGGGCATTGCATGTATGTGGTGCACTTACATACATGCACAAAAAACACACACATAAAAAGTTTTAAAAATTTAAAGCTCCTAAAGGAATATTTTCCTAGTGGTGGTATATAGCTCGGTGGTAGAGCACTTGCCTTGCATGTGCGAAGCTCTGCGTCCCATCTCCAGAATTGACACACATGCAAAAAGAAATTCCTAACTTAAAAGTTTTAGCTCTTTGTCTCCCTCTCCTATAAAATTGCTTTTGTCAAACTAAACAGCTAAAGTTGAACCTGGGAAGGTATTCTCCCTGTCATGTATGTTAGAGTTTTTCCTTACCTAGGATCCCCCATCTCCTCCCCTTACATATTGAAATCATATCCATCTTTCAAGGTTATCAGCTGAGGCGCTGTTTTCTAACCACAGATGCTGCACAATGTCACTTTTGCCTTACATCATAGACAACAGACTATGAGCTGTGGTAAGGGAGGATCCTGGTCTAATTAGTATGTCTGGCCCTCACATAGCCTCCCTGGGCACCTCAGATTGGAAATCGAGAGAAGAATGAATGAAGTAATTAATGTTCTGTCGCATCACTCTTTATAGATCGCAGTGTCTGGAGGTAGGGTTGTTCGATACAGTCTATCCAAACACTGCTAAACAATGGATATTTATTTTAGTATAAATATGTCCCATACAATAAATAATCAAGACATACTAAAAAATTATTCTTTATCTGAAATTCAAATTCAAGCGGAAGTCCTGCATTTTATCTAGCACCCCTACTTGGAGGGCAGGGGTTCTCCCAGATGCCTGGCTTCCTCTGTACAGGTGCTCAACATCTGTGTGCTTGGTAGAGCAAAAACCAAGCTAGCGCGGTGGTTTCCACAGCTGGCGTTCGCAGCGCAAAGATAGACACCTGGGCAGAAGACCGTCACAGGAGAATGGAGAAAGAGCTCGCACCCGGGTGGTGACTACGGGAGCCGGGGACGGGCTGGGCCACCCGCTCTCACCACCCCTACCCTTCATCTCGTGACCCGTCCTTATGGGCCGGCGGGCGAATCGCCCTGCTCTTCAATCGAAGACTCCCATTGGCAAGACATTCCATCTGTCACTCTAGGCCCCGCCCCAGTGACTGACGTTTCCCAGGCTACGTCTCTCCAGTGGTACGGCGTAGCTAGCGATTAGTTGAGAGGGGCCGGCAGCCATCCGGTCTAGGCTAAGGGGCAGGGCCTAGGACTCAGAACCTGCTGGAGCGCGTCACTGGCTCCCGCTGCGGTGCTCTAGTCCTGCTGGCCCTTTTCTGCTGTCTCTTCTCGGCACAGCTGCCACAGCACCATGGCTGTGCTCGTCGTGCTCCTGCCATTGCTGGTGGCGGGTGAGTAGCCGGAGCGCGCTCCAGGAGGCCCTGCGGCTGGGACTCGGGGACGGGGGCGGTTGTAGAAGGGGCCGCAGTGGGGGCGGCCAGGGCTCGACGACCCGCCTCAGGGCTCTGCTCTGTGGTGCGACCTGGGCGGTGTGGCATTGTGGCCTCCGGGACCGTACCAGGGCCACCAGGGCGTGCTTCTGAGCCGGCTTCAGCCTCTTGGAGGAAGGCGCGTCACTGGTTGTGACCCGATCTTCCCTTCTGCCCCACCACTCCTTCCAGCTCCGAGGCCCTTGGGAGGATGGGACTGCATTTCTCAATACGTGGTTGAACCACAGCCCACTACAGGGAAGGGAAGGCGGGCTTAGCTGCCACTGGCTGCTGCCCTTTTTTGCATTCGTATGTTGTCTTCGGCTCTAGTGGTTGTCATTAACAACGGGTGAAATCTTTCCTCCCTCGTATATATTTCAGGATGCAAAAAGTTGACATGGATTCTTCGTTCTTTATGTGATTATTTCTTCAGGTGAACCCAGGCCATGTTGGTCACAGTTCCCAATTTGAAGGATTTGGAAACAAGGGTGTGAGTCATGCTTTTAGGGGGTCACATGTCAAATAAATGGTAGCTTTCTAAGTGGAACCTGGATATCTAGCATGGAGAAGAGTGGAAATGACCTTATATTTGGCAGCTGGCTGTGGATCACGTGGTAATGAATTACGGTTTACAATAATCCTTAGGAAGAGGGTACCCTACCTTTGAAGGGTGATCATGCCAAGATAAATCGCCTAGTGTCATACAGGTAGTAATAACCAAAGCTGGATTTGAACACAGATCATCTGACTTCAGAGTCGGGGATTGGGGAGTGTCTTTCCATGCTCTATATTACCAGACAGGTAATGCTGCTGGGTGACATTGTGGAAGCCATGGAACTGAGATTGGGCGGCCAGACAGTAGGGAACAAGAGGTCAAAGTTAAGCACACCTTGGAGGAATATCCGGATACTTTAGGCAGACTGTGTCAGGTTAAAACTAATGGGAGGCTTCGAGTCTGTGCTGGGAGGTGCTGGGAGGTCCCACTTTGAGAACGGCACTTTAAGTAAAATGGACCAGTGATGTTTTTGAAGACCAAACCTCTTCTCCAGCCCTGGAGGTGTCCAGTGCTCTGTGTTAAGACCTTTCATGCTCTCAGAGTGTTAGAGTTCTTTTTCATTTCTGCTGCTGCCTCTGGAAAGGTCATTTTTATTTATCTATTAAGATATTTGGCGGGGGGGGGGGGGGGGG